TAATGGTTAGAATGTCAATCACTGAAGTTCCTTTAAATTGGTATTTACAACAAAAGAAATTATTACAAAATAAAGAATTAACAAGAAAATGGTTTATAAGAATAACTAGTAGTATTTATTCATTACATCAAGAATCAATTGGTCATGGATCATTATCATTAAAACATATTTTTATTAAAGATGATGAAATAAAATTAGCATTTTTTGATTTAATTACACCAATATCAACAGTAATAGCAAAAGATTTAATTTCATTAAAAAAATTATGGATTATTTTAGGATGGTATTATTTCTATGAAAATATTAAAGAAAGTGAATTAGAGAAATCATCATTTTTAACTAAATTACAAATTATCTTTCCTGAAACAATTAATATTCAAAAAGCAAAAAGTGTAGAAGAAATAATGTCTATAATTCAATCATTTGATCCAAAAACGAAACAACTTTTTCGTAATTTATTAACAGAACAACCTTTTCTTTTTACATTAACAGAATATTTTAATCAACAAAAAAATATTAGTCAGAAAGTTAATGAATATAAACCATATTTTACTACAATTGATGATTTATATTGTAATAATTGTACTTTTGTTCCTGCTGATATAATTTCATCTTGTCAATATACAAAAAATAATAATATTTATTTAGCATCAAATGGATGTCTTTATAAATTTAATATAACTCCAATCTCTATCATTTGTAATAATGATTCTCCTTTTATTTATTCTCCTTTTATCAAAAATAAATCATATGGAATTGAAATGTCAAGTACAAATAATAATAGAAATACATTTTCTGATGTTCTTTTAAAAACTTTATTTTTATCAAGATCAGTCTTAGTAATGATAGATGGATCAGCATATTCACTTCATTATAATTTCCCAACTTATCTTATTGAATTAGCAAATGCATTTAATATTCAAGTTGATGTTTATCAACCTTATAATTATTTATATTCTCAACTTAAAAGTTTATCAGTTACTATTCCTCTATTAAAACAAATATTAAATACTAATGAAACATCAAAAATAATTAAATTAATGGAATTAAATCCTAAATTAAAGAAATTAAAAACAATTATTAAAAATAATACAATTTCTTCTCTTCTTGTTAATGATGAAAGTTATTTATGTTTTGATGTTTTCTGTACTGAATGTAAATCAATTAGAACATGTCCACATGCATTTTTATGTTGTATTAAAAATTTAAATGATGGTACAATTGTTGGATATGCTACAACTATTGATGTTTTATTAGAACCTAATTCATCTAATCAATCATCATTTTCAACATATGAAAATACTACTTTAAAATATATTTCTAATTCTGTTGAACAAAAACTAAATTCACCAATTACTCAACAAATAATAAAAGAAGATATCACCCAAAGAACTAGACAACAATCATCATCTAATAGAAAAATTGATTCAAAATTAATTAAACAAAATACTTTTATTAATTCAAATGAAACACAAAAACTTACTCCATCTTCTCATTTATCATCAACTCCATTGTCTGGTTGTTATTATCCACTAGAAAAACATCAAGAATCAATAAGAAAAATAGATGAAACAAATTATGGATTTGTATGTGATTTAGTTGTTTATTCAATCCAACCAACATCACAACATGAATATACTTCTCAAATAATGATAATTTCAAGTATAAAAAGTGTAGAACCATTAAAATTAGCACGTAATTTAAGAAGTGAAGGATTTATAATTCAAACATTATTTAAAGAAGATATTAAAATGGAAGAGGCAAAAAAAATAATAAAAGATTATAATTGTGATAGGTTGATTCTTTTTGATGGAGGATTTAAAATTATCAATGAGGATGAAATAATTGAAATAAAAAATATTAATGAAGTTGTTTTAGAAATTAAATCTGGAAATCCAATTAATTTTGAATACACAACACTAAACAAAGTAGATATTGGAAGTATTATGTATAATGAAACATCAATTAAAGATATGCATCCAGAAATTATCAAAGCTATGATTATATCTTTTGAAAATGAAGATATTTTTATTAAAAAATATCCAACAATCAAAAAATCTTTTGAAACAAACCAAAATACAAAAGAATCACCACAAGTAATGATCATTCTTAAACAATATGATGAGGAATATGTTGAATTTATTGGAAAGAAGAAGAAAAAGAAATAAAAA